CATTTTACATATCCTTTATAGGATCAAAAGTGCGTAAGGAGATTTTGCCAGTTAATCAGTCTCTGATATCCTGAAGCTGCAGAATTGCAACAATTATTCAAACTCGAGTGAATCATTAAGCGAATATATGATGAAAGAAACTGAAGGTTGAGGAAATACTTATTAGAATGCGGAGGCCCTGGCGAACTATGGCAAGTAAAATAAAAGTTAAAAACTCAACATGAAGTGATGCATTTTGCTAGCACAATTTGATTATTTTGGCTATAACCAAATACAAAAATGCTTTCAAAAATAACGAAAAAACGAAACTTACCTGAAGTCATCAGCAGACTGGTATGGTAGTTCCCCGGCTCGGCTTCACTCTTCTTGGCCGAAGGCCACGTGGTCTCGCAGAAAGGTAACGAGTCGGACTTTGATAAACCTGCCCTCGATTCTAGTTCCTTAACCTCTTCGCTCTCTTCCTGTTCATGCTCCATCTGGCTAAGCTCGACACTGGCCAGCAAGCGATCAGTGTAGAAGGCATCCGTACCGGCCACAGCATCCGGTGCAGGTAAACCATGTTGAATGGGGAACCGGCGATTCCGTCGAATTTTGCTCTCATCACCGACAAGACTCGCTGGATGCAAATAAGGCAAACAAAGCGAAATTTAATCTAAGGCCATAGTATATGCAAGAATAAAGTAAAGCCTGAGAAATTAAAGAAAGAGATATCACTTTAAATAAAAGCTAGCAGCCAATATTTTGTCAACGATAAGCGCAAATAAAAGCAAATACTATGGAAACATTTGTCGTCCTGGAAATTATGTTTGAAAAACGGACTTCAGCTTATTGGTAAGTCCCACTGTGGAGATGATGGTGGTAAGGCCTGACGATTCGAGTTCCAATGAAAACCTTTTCCTCAGATCGAGTGAATTTAATAATAAGTAAAATAGCCTAGGAAGGTATAGATAATCGGGGTTTTGAATGTTAATATAATCCGCAGATGAGTTCATGTAAATTCCTGAACAATTTTACAGAAAGGTGTAGCTCATACCTTGGTGACTTTAACTCATTAGACAAAAAGATAAGCTGGGTTTCGAAAAATCCCTTAGAAAATTAAAGTTGGAATACCTTTTACTTCGAATGAAAAGGTGGGTGGAAGGGATTTGTAGATTGTCCTCACTGGATACCGAAAGAATATTGCCTTGGACTTGCAACTATTGGATTGTATCGGCTCCCTATTCTGCAACTCCGATTAAGCGTCAGAGCCAGAAACCAGCATTCACAAGCAATCACCAAAAACACTAAACCAATTAAAGTGGTCGGCTAAAGTCCTATTTACTTCTTATACTAACTTTGCCATGAGGTTTTCTTTGATTTGGTTAGCTACTCTGTGCAGGCCCTACAAACATGTAGACGAGTGAAGTTAATGCATGAAAAGGGAGCGAATGTGGCCACAGGTTTTTCTTATGTAAATAAACTAATATATGAACCTGAAAAACTGAGGCTTGATTTAGCTTCGTGGATGTGTGTGCGTTGTGGTTATGCAACACTCATGGATCAGTTAGCAATTTCAAGCTCAAACAAAACTTCTAGTAAATCAAGCCTTCTTCATATAAGAGCCATATTCAGCATATTTCGTTTAAGTTGATATTAGTCTCGAAAACCTATTTATTCAACGAAAAATAATCAAACGATAATAAAAGCCATAAGATCTTGACCTTCGTACCTTCGAAAAAGAATAAAGTCTTCTCCTCTTACTTGGTGGCTCTTCTTATTTCCTCTTTTCCCTCTCTAATTCTATCCTGTAGACAGAGATAGTTTTTGCTTAATTTACTACACCTGTTCCTCTTATTCAGGATGTCCTTTGTTTTTTTAATTCAATCAACTCCATAATCTTCAGACTAGCTGTGAAGTCCCGATATGCGGCAAAACGTTGGGTTTTAGACCCATCTATCTAGTGTCAAGTAGTGATCACATGTTCAGCCACCTGGGTTGTGGGTTGGCACACAAGAGACTAGGACATAGGAAGTCATAGACTTGGTATTACGGATAAAAACAGGAAAGACGTGATGGAGACTAAAGCTATTTGGCTACCTGGACCACATCTATGGTAAAAACAGATCTACTATCAGCCAACTAGCTCCAGTCACCGCCGCGTCTATCCTGTTTCTATCCCTAATACCAAGTCTATGACATACCATGCCCTAGTCTCTTGTATGTCAAACCACAAACATTGTGATTCAACATTGAACCTAATCTAAGCAATAACTACCACAATATTTGTGGGTTGGCACACAAGAGACTAGGGCATGGGAATTCATAGACTTGGTATTAGGGATAGAAAAAGGATAGATGCGGCGGTGACTGGAGCTAGTTGGCTGATAGTAGGCCTGTTTTAGCATAGGCGTGGTTAATGTAGCAAAGGCTTAGTTATGAGTCTTACTCAGAGGTTATAGCCTCGAATTAGTCACCCAGGCGCAAGGGATGGGTAATAACGCCTCGAGTAGCACAGATGGCGTGGCAGGGGCCGAGTGAAATACTTGAACCAGGGAGTTAGCAGACGGATTCTAAGGGGCAAGAGGGAGACTCTGATGAGACCTAGGGAAGGAGGACTGCGCAACAATATGGCAGACTCTGATCCACATTCTCAACATAAGGATGAAGGGGGGTGAGAACGCCAGCATGGAGTGTGGAGAGTTTCTCATGAATGCCGCTCAGAAGGGCACACCGCACTACATTTAAATTAACAAGGAGACGATGCCGATGAAACGTCTGAGAATGTACCACGTCCACGGTCCGACTTTGGAAATTATCATTCATACAATGGACTCCGGACTAGATGCGTTCCTCTAAGTCTCCCTACCAATATGACCAAGTTGCGAAAACAAAGTGAAACAACTTCTAAAAATAATAATCTTCGTTAAAAAGTAGGCTTTCGAGACTGCCAGTCATTCACATATATGACATGTATTCACCATATTTCCTGAATGGAGATAAGTTGTATGTTGACGTTTCCCACAATGATAAGAGTAGACCATACTTTTCCATTGAATGTTACATAGCCCTCTATCCCCAAAAGGTATTCTCATCCTGATTAGACCGTAGTTTCGACCTGACTAGGTCTTATCAACATCTAAAATGGAAGTAGAACCATGAAATTGCGGTGTTTAATCTCGACACGTTGACGACTACGACACATTTCCACGAGCGCACTTTGATCACAAGGCAGATGTGAATTTCAAGGAAGG